AGTTCCTTGCTTGTACACGGAGTCCTTTTCAGAGCAGGATATAAGCATACGAGACTACACATTAAGCAGGTACTTAAAGATGCTGCTTGGCTCAAATTCAGTCCTGCTCTCTCCCCCCCCCCCCCCCCCAATGCTTTGGCACAACTAAATTAAAAGAAAATGGTCCATACTCACAGAAAGCGTAAGGGACCAGAATGGCTAGGCTGGCTGTACCTTCACCGTACCCTGAAGAGATGCAGAAGCTTACGCTGCGTTTGCAATTCTCAAGGAAGTTCAGATATTTTTTAAGGCATATTGTTAATTGATTTTGACAAAGTGCAATGTGCAGATTGTAACTCATTTCATGGAAACATTTCTACTTCCTTAATGGGCAACTCATTTACTTACTACAATACACATACTTCAGGTTAGCAAAACAGGGAGGGATAGCAGGATTACAACACAAAGGTCATTGCCCATGTGAGAAATAGAAATCATAAACAGCAGGGTTTTTAGCTTCATTAGAATATTTGCTATTAATCTTATCGACAAATGTGTTTTGTTCTCTCTTGTTCTTTGCTGCATTGTGATGCAGAGATTTATTCAACTTTCCTTTGTTTCTCCTCCCTCTTGGTGGAATTGCCATGAGAAACACATAAGGAAATAGGTTGGGTGCTTTTTACTGCTGGTATTTTACCACAGGGCTCTTAAACCGTTTAACAAAGAAGATAGAAGATAAAAGCTTTCAGTTGCTGAGGTGATCTGATAGATCAGGTTCCAGCAGTGGTTTACAATGTATATCGCTCTAAGAAAACCTGCAATTTTACAATGTTTATTTTCTGTCTTTTAGCTTTCCAAAGAAAATTTTCTACCCTGAAAACATGGTTAACATGAGAAATCTTAAAGCAATCCAGTTTCAGTCAGATCATGGATAACTAGGGGAGGATTCTGGTGGGATTTAAAACAGAGATGTAAGCCTTCTTCAGCCAAGGGTAGGGCAGCAATTAGTAGGTCAAAATATAGTATATTAGCTTTATAACTCAATGAAATTAATGATGCCTCACTCTACAAAGTATGCTTTTCCTTTTCTTTCACACTAACAAAATTACAATTTGCTGGGATCTAGGGGCTATATGTACTTCTGATTTGCCCACTCTGATTTAAAATCATTGTGATGTTAGCACAATTGAGTTCTTTCACTGCAGTGTTTAATGAACAAATGGTCCATAGAAAATGACATACGTTTGTGATGAATGTTTTAAGGGAGACGATTTAAGACTCATTTATAAATCACTTGCTTTAAAAAAAAACATAGTTGCTGATGAGTGGGTCTAATTAAAAAAACCTTAGAGACAGAAACATTTCTCTGTTACAGATTAGAGCTATAGCTATAGTTTAACCAGCGTGTTCGTTGATACTGTTTGCTTATGCCAACAAGAAGTTATGTCTTCCAGAACAGGCCATCTATTTCTTTCTCATTGGCATTTAGGGCTTGCCCAATTTCTCAGCTTTTAATTTCCCAACATGAGGGATGCTCAAAAGTTGTGACACGCCTTGGGGATTGTAAAGATATTTTGGTTACTTTAATACAATTTACGGTAGATGTGCTTGGTAAGTGATTACAGAAATATCATAACTTCTTGTTGGCATAAGCAAACAGTATCAACGAACACGCTGGTTAAACTATAGCTATAGCTCTAAACTGTAACAGAGGAATGATT